CCTCCACCTTATCATCATCCTAGTCAGGTCACCCTCCCCTCTCCCCTGAATTAGGAAATGATCTTGTGCTTTTCTCTTGCCCTAGGTATGGTCTCTTGACACAGCAGCCAGAATGATCCTTTAAACACTTAAGATCATGTTACTTCTCTGCCCAACACATCCACTGACTTCCCACCTCACTAAGAGTAAAATTCAAAGAGCTGTCCACCACCTACGAAGCCCTGAATAAACCTGCCTCCTCCTACGTCTCTCCTTTCACACATATGCTGATATTCCTATGACAAACGCAGAACACACCTATCTCAGGGCCTTTGTGTTTGGTGCTTCCCTCTGTCCGAAACATTCTTCCCTCAGATATTTGCATGGCTCACTTCTCACTCCTTCAGGTCTGCTCAAGGGTCAGCTTATCAGCCCACTTTCCTGATGGGCTTCTCTAAATTAGCACACACATTGCACATCCCTGTCCTCTATTCCACTTCTTTTTCCTTCTAACATTTGTAGCCATCGTACATTTTTTTTTTTTTTTTGAGATGGAGTCTCACTCTGTAGCCCAGGCTGGAGTGCAGTGGTGCAATCTCAGCTCACTGCAACATCCGCCTCCCAGGTTCAAGCGATTCTCCTGACTCAGCCTCCTGAGTAGCTGGATTATAGGCGTGCACTACCACGCCTGGCCAATTTTTGTATTTTTGGTAGAGACGGGGCTTCACCATGTTGGTCAAGCTAGTTTAGAGCTCCTGACCTCGTGATTTGCCCACCTTGGCCTCCCAAAGTGCTGAGATTACAAGCATGAGCCACTGCACCCGGCCACTGCCATTGTACATACTTAGTAATATCTGTCTCTATGCACTAGAATATAAATTCTACGAGGGTAGAGATTTGCCTGTTTTCTTTTCAATCCATTATTTCTACTATCTGGCTTATATTAGGCACTGAAAAACGTTTGTTCAATCAGTGAATAAATGAACCGAAACCCGATGTCTCAGAGCAAACAAATAAAGCATTAGGAATTTCAAAATGATCTGGAGATAATTCTTAATTCTGTTATTTGCTAGCTGTCTTTCAGCCACATTATCCATTTCTCCAGCCTATTACATGGGGTAATACCCAACTACATTTCTTATTAAGGGAAGCGTGGAATTGAACTGCAATGAGGGCAAGATAATTAACATTTATTGAGTGCTGTCTTTGGGCTGGACTCTTTACATAACATTATTCTCAAAATTCTCTTGTAAGGCAGGTGTCATTTTCTCCACTTAACTAGGACCAGTCTGAAAATCAGGGAGTTAAGTTAACAAAACAGTAAGTGTTAGAGTTAGGATTTTCATCCAGTGCTCTGTGGCCCTTAGACTCATGTCTAAACTTGCAGAGCTAAGCCCTCAGGGAAAAAAAAAATTATTTTGTTTTTACTGTGGCATGCTTTCAACTGTTACTTGAACTGTTATTTTCAGGTTGGCATCAAGATCCAAATGTGAAAACCAGTTCTGCATATTGAGTTGTCATTGTGTGGAAGAATAAATAAAATCTTTTCATTACCCATTGCAAGGGTCATAGTTGAGGCACTTATAATAAAAGATTAACAAGATAAAAGCACACAAATTTGTTTAATGTCAGTTTTATGAGACAGGGAGACCTTCGGAAATGAAGACCCCAAAGAAACAGGGAAATCTGTTTATTTTCCTGCTTAGGTTTGATGGTGCTGAAGTATGATTGGGGAGAGGGGTTAGGATCTAATAATGGTAATAAACTGGGCGGAATTTAGCAAGTGGCTGTTTGTTCAGATTCTTCTTGGCTTCTCTGTGTCTGAGGATCAGAATGTTCCTTTTTTCTGGGCATAGGGTGGGCACCACTGGAATAAAGATTTTATGACCTACTTCAGAGGAATGTTAGCTAGGTTTTATGGCCTGCTTCAGGGAAGAAAGGGTGAGGGGAAGTTGAGAATGACCTTCTTGCTTTTGGTGTTTTCTCTAATGCTAAGGTGCCATATTTTGGAGTAGCATGTCCTGAACCTCATCATCCTCAAATATTGCTAAAAGGACAATGGTGTGACAGAAAGACTTTAGCAGGTGAAACTTTCATTTCCTGTGGTTAAAGCAAGCAAAGGAAACTGCAGCAGACCCTCCTGAAAGACTGTAGCCAACCTGTAGGGTCAGCACAGCTTCCTAGGCCTCTGCCTAATCAGGAGTCATGCCTAGTTTCAAGAACACCCCGTGGGATTTGGCGGCTACTTTCACAGCTCTTCAGCTGATGTGAGGTCTGCCATTTACGACTTTGCAGGCTTCCTTTATGTGCCGCAAAATGGAGGGAGAAGTGCCAAGTCACAGCAAAATCCTGGCTTTCTTATTTCAAAGCGCCCCCTCCCACCCAGTCCTTTCTAATGCATGTTGTGGCTGCCACCCGTGGCTCACGGAATTTCATTTTTAGCTCTCTGTGTTCCAAATACATTCTCAGTGAGTGATATCTTCTACCTTTCAGGGTATCTGGGCCAGTTGTGTCCAGGTGAGTCACCTGTCCCAAAGGAACGCCAGATACTGTTAGAAAGCCCCATGAAAGTGGATCTACATCTTATTAATCTTACTTTCATCTTGGTTGTGCTGGTGAAGAAAAATGCTTTTGTAAGAAAAGTGCTTAAACAGTCAGGGTTTCCCACTTGTTTCTCAGCTTAGGTCAGGTGGCAATTCTGATCGCGTAAACTGGTTTCTTAAACCAGTGTTCTTACGATTTTCATATTTGTGGTATTTTTAGTGGCATAACTTGAAGGAATTAAAAGACTCATGTGATGACAGTAAATAAGCCAGTAAATCAGTCATTACTGATCAGTCTGAAGGACAGAAAACAGCCTTGTCTCACATTTTAATTTTCTTTTCAGTACTTGCTTGGCCTCTCAGCAACGCTGTTGCTGTTTGATAGAAATATTGACTACCCTAACTACTCTGTCTTATATACATAGAAAGAAGTAAATGCGTCTTTCTTTGGCATCTGTTTGATCTTGATACAGTCCTTTCTGGCTCACAGCAAGTGTTGTTCTGCCCTATAGCCTCTCACACCACCCACTGAACACACTGCCTATCTGGCGGCATTGCTGAATAGAATGTTTTTCATGCCAGCCAAAAAGTATTGGGTATGTTGCTCACAAATTAATAACACACCCACTTTTTGGAACACATATCTATGCAATTTCACACTCTTTGTGAACCATCGATCTGGGCAAGTGCAGTCCAAGATTGTTTTGATTTTCTGTGTTCCATCTTGTTTTCCTCTTTTACCTATAACTGTATTTAACGTCTGCTTTTGCCAAGATAGTTTTTGTGTGTGATTTTTTTTTCTTTCTTTCAGGGTACCAGTCTTCCTTTCCTTTGGGTCAAATGAGATTACAAAACAATAATATCTGAGCACAGCTCTGTTCTCAGTAAAGGAATCCAGCTTAGAGAAATTGCGTCCGTCAAAAAGAGCATGAGTTTGATTCCTATACACTTAGTAATTGGGTGGTGTTAATCTAAACTCCGGTTCTTTTCTTTCCACTAAATTAGAGATCATAATGATACCTGCCTATGAAGATTAGATGCAATAATACGTGGAAGACATGTAGCACAGGCCACAGTGCTTAGTCGGTATAATTTCCTTATCTTAATGGCTCTGTCCTTTTCTGGATACCACTGTGTATCTGCTGGCACTGCTGCTGAAGGCCTTGGGTTAGGCCTAAAGAATGGGCGAGTTGGAATTGACAGCCAACCAGCAAGCAAGAGTTATGGACTAACTTTCTGAAGTGGTGGAAAGATGCACATTAACTCTGTTCTTCAAAAGATGTTTAAACATAGCTGTCTTCTCATACACCTGTATTTCAGGAATATCTCAGTAATTCCATTATATCATGACGTGAATTTTCCTAACCCTGTACAGGATGATTGAAGAATCGAGCTGGCCATGCTTGGAATCAGGTGAGACTGTTACTCGATCTCATGGGACTTTCTTCTGAGACTATAAAGGCAACTGCTTCTCAAGTCAGTTCTTTCAGGGGAGGAAGGGTGGAGAATTTATCCACTAGCTCCAATTTCTCATTGGTCAAATGTTTGTTTTCTAGTACATTAGTTCTATACATCTGGGTTGTGCCTACATGGGACCTAGCAAGCCTCATGTCATTTCATCTCTCAGCATTGACTGGACAAAAAGCAAAAGTGCCTAGTGTGGGCATGTGAAAATATTGTTAGGTTGCGCCTACATGAAATTAGTCAGAGTCCGACCAACATTTGTCAGTGCAGTGACTACTGGTGTTGGAACAAGTGCGGCAATGACAGAAATAGATGCAGTCAAAATATTGACATAGCCACAGGCTGCACATGATACAATCCACCCCTTGCACTATACACATCAATTCATGTGCTCTCATTATATCCAGCTGTCATAATAAACTGTGTGTGTGTGTGTGTGTGTGTGTGTGTATGTGTGTGTGTGTGAGTCCAGCTTTAAGTTCAGTCGGAACCTTTCTGTGTCATCTGACAAAGCATTCGGCCATCCATCTGATCCCCCCAGAACTGGAATCTTTAACTTTGTGGAACCTATGATTAGAAAGTACAAGTTCTGTGAATTTCAGAAATAATGATAAGAGAACAAATCTGTTTTGACCTTGTGGTTCCCAGATCCATGAATTCTTGCTATTTAGGATATAGCACCACCATGTTATTTGCCTTTTGTCAGCATGTAGTCTACAACCTAGGGGAAAGCAGAACTCTTTTTTATTTTTTTGAGAAAAGATTGATGTACTTTTTTTTTTTTCTGTTTTGAGTTCCAACCCCAAAAATATTCCAGGAAAAGATAGGGGGAGGTTGGGCTTGTTCTTCTTCAATAGGCTTTTGCTGCCAAGGAAGACAGTGCACTTGCCCCACATCCAGGCTACCCCTATCCTGCTTCTTCCCTGCTTAGCCCGGGGGGGGGGGTGGTCTGTGGGGGGGGGGGGGGGGGGGGGGGGGGGGGGGGGGGGGGGGGGGGGGGGGGGGGGGGGGGGGGGGGTCTGTAGGGGTGGCAGGGGCAGCTGGAAGGGAGGGGCTGGGGCAGTGATGCTTTCGGGTGAGAAGTTGGGCTGAGGCTGGGGAACGGGGAAGGGATTGCCCATGTGCAGTTACCGTTGCTCAGTGACAGAGCCTCAAAGCTTGCCCAGGGCTGAAGATACCACATGGGTGTGGGTGAGGCAGGCTAAGTGGGATGGCTGCAGCCAAGGAGTTGGGGGAGGGCAGGACTCAGGGCTGGCCCTCTCCCCTCTAACTGATGATCTGCTGAGGTCATCTGTAGCCTGTCATGCTGGCCTGGGAGGCCCCTCTCTTGCTGCCCATCTGAAGGCCAATGACATGCTCTCCGTCCTGCAGCTGGCTCTCTGTGAATTCCTTCTTATGCTCCTGCACTTTCTTCATAAACCAGTTGGGATCTCCATGGTAGTGCCTGTCATTCTTGGTCACTGCCAAGCTGCCCAAAGCCATCAGGGTCCTCTGCGCTGCTGCCATATCTTTGCCTTCGAAGAGGTCAGCAGTCTGGAACATGTCAGTCTTGGCGACCCCATAGTTCTCAGCTCCCTTCAGGAACTGAGCCATCTGCTCCATCTGCTTGAAGACCATGGAGGGTGGGTTCCTGGGCACCTTCACAGGCTTGGAGCCATCAAGGTACAGGCTATTCACCAGCTTGCTCAGAATCACGCCATTCTTCAGCCAGACCTGCAAGTCCAGGCACCCATGGTCTGGGTGGCCCACATCAGGGCCACACTGCACTATGGTCCACTCCACCAGCCACTCCTCCATCTCCTCATTGTTCTTCTTGATTTTGGACTGCACTTCACAGGTTATGCCATAGGAAGGACCCTAGTTGGTCATGCATGGGGAGAGAGGGCTTCCTTGGGGCTTGCAGGAGGGAGTGAAGACATGTGTCTGGGCTTGGACAGAGAGGACTGGGAAAGCAGAACTCTTGAGCTGTTGCCTTTGCTGAACTTTTAACAGGGCTTTTCTGTCTGTTCTACTGGACAGAGTTTCTTGATGAAGGTGTGCATAGAAGACCAGTCGATCATTTAGTCTTGCATCCATGTAGCCATTCCTTTGGCACAAATTGAGATTTTGTTCTGAAGTCCTTAATGGAATACAATACACAGAGATCAGATAGTCTGTAAGCCGGTAGATAGTGGTGCTGAGGGAGGTACAAGGGAAGGCAAACTAACACCATAAGTAGATTTCTATTTCAGTGAGACCAAATCACAGTCCCTTTCATGGTGGAAATGGTCCATTGTAGTAAACCTACTGCTAAACTTGGGGTTGCCTCCAGGGATGGTGCCATCTTGATGGTTCAGAATTAGTCTCTTCTCCTAGGAGACTGGACATTCACCATGACAGTAGCTGTATCAGTCTTTGTGAGAGGAAGTCCATGCTATCAGGCCAACTCAATGTCTTCACTTCTGCCACATGGCTCATTTCAGTGACAGTGGTTGCTAAAGGGGGCAATCCATAGAAAGATTCCTTCTGTCCCTTTAATTGTTGATCACTTTTCTGCATGGAATATTCTCTGAGTATTTATGTGAGATACAAGGACATAAATACTTTGTGATCAGTCCTATCCATTCATTTATATCCCTCTTTCTTAGAATTCCTTGTTCTTGATCTTCTAGTGTCATTCCTTCCAAGCCCTTCAACAATTAGCCAAGTCATTGACCACTTACTGGGAATCTACGTAGGTCTGTACCTGAAGCCACATCTCATTCCATTACAATTAAATGACCAAGTGTAATGCTAGCTGCTCTGGCCACTGAGAGAATTTCCCTTCACCACTGTCCTCTAAAGGTACCTGCTAGTGGGATTATAATAACAATTGTCCATTTTTAGTCAGCACCGACATATTATGCCAACCGTCTGTGAACCAAGCCCAAGTTCTTTCCTCTGCTGACAATTGGTTATAGAGAGCCTTCTGTAAATTAGAAGTTTGAATTTTAGAAGAGGCATTGGTGTGATAAGGATAAGTGACTTGGGATCTGAGCTACTTGCTTATGAAATACACTTGTGCCTTCTTGAACTGCTTGGACCTGATCCCTAAGGTAGCATTTCCATGGAATAATGTGTTGTCTTGCACTTGCTCCAACTATGACACAGTGGATCACATAAGATTCAGCATATGATGGGCAGCTTTGGATACATAGTTACTGATGCCAGTACCCAGTCATTGCTTTTTTTTTTTTTTTTTTTTTTTTTTTTTTGAGATGGAGTCTCACCCTGTCCCCCAGGCTGGAGTGTAATGGCGTCATTTTGGCTCACTGCAACTTCTACCTCCTGGGTTCTAGTGATAATCCTGCCTCAGCCTCTTGAGTAGCTGGGATTACAGGCACGTGCCACTACATCTGGCTAATGTTGGTCAGGCTGGTCTTGAACTCCTGACCTCGTGATCCACCTGCCTCAGCCTCCTGAAGAGCTGGGATTACAGGCATGAGCCACCACACTCGGCAAAGCATTTCTTTTCAAACAGAAAAGTGCTCTCTGCTACAAAAGCCATGACCTTACCCTCCAGCTCCAGGAGGCACTGTAACGACTCTTCTATTGGGGCTTGCCTGGTCCTCCACCCAGCATTCTCATCTGCTACTGTCACTTTTAGTATACAGCCTGAGCAGGAGGACAGGTGAGTCTGTAGTCTCAACTTGTTGCAATGCCTCTTCTTACTCTGGATTTCGTGTAAAACCAGAGCCTTCTGAGTCACCTGATAAATGGATTGGAGCAGTGGTCCTAAGTGCAGTCTGTGCTACCTCCAAAACACGAAGAAGCCAACGTAGTGATTGGAGGTATAACTTTTTATTAGTGGTAGGAGGTGCAACAACTCATTCTTGTCTTAGAGATATGCTGTTCAATAAAGTAGCCACTAGCTCCATGTGGCTATATAAATGAATTTATAAATATATATATATTCGGGCCAGTGTGGTGGCTCATGCCTAATCCTAGCACTTTGGGAGGCTGAGGTGGGCGTATCACCCGAGGTCAGGAGTTTGAGACTAGCTGGCCAACATGGTGAAACCCCATCTCTACTAAAAATACAAAAATTAGCTGGGTATAGTAATTTGTGCCTGCAATCCCAGCTGCCTGAGAGGCTAAGGCAGGACATAGTATCACTGCACTCCAGCCTGGATGACAGAGTGAGACTCTGTCTCAAAAAAAAAAAAATATATATATATATATATACACATATATATATATTCAACTCGACAGTTTCTGTTGTCAAATTTCGAATGTTCAATAGCTACATGTAGCTAGTGGCTCCTTGCTATTCTGCACAGGCATAGAACATTTCTATCATGGCAGAAAGTTCTATGGGATAGCACTACCTTAGAGGCTCTATCCTCACATGACAGTTTAAGATTCAAACCCAGGTCTATTTGACGCTAAAGCCCATGCTTTTTTCTACTTTAGCAAGTCACAGACGGACTAGGTGTAAACAAATGCTTTTCTGTTGTTGTGTCCAAGGGCAAAATGAGCTCTTGAATCAGATTTTTGTGCAATTCAGTTTTGGTTCATGCAATGTGGCTACAAATTCTCTTTGCATTTCAACAACAACAAAAAGGCATTTTATCTAAAGGCCAAATCTGTAACAGTGACTCTCCATATCTGACTTTTCTTTCTTGGCATCGGTGGACTCAGAAAGCAGTTTTCTTTTTAAAGAAAGTTTTTATATAGCTCAGAAATATTATGCATTTCCAAAGAAACAGAGCAGACTAGCATTCTGTGGCAGACAGCAGAATCTCTCTGAATGCTGTGGTTCTGTATTTCCATCTGTACTCCATAAAAGGCAAGGATCATTGTCCCCACAGAATGCAACTGAATGGCAGCTGGAGCATGAATGGACAGGAAAAAACCCTCTCCTCCCTCTAATAACACCACTTATGGCAGACAGGCGAAGTTCTCTTCTGAATGTGGTAAAGAGATGCTGTTATGATAAGAGTAATTATTATACATTAGTTAAAATCCCATTTAGGGAGAGTTATATTGCAGCTATTTTAAAAGAGGTTTGCTAACCCTCCAAGTTTGAGGGAGAGATTAATTAGTGTCAGTGAAGGATCTCCAAGATAAAAACAAATTAAGCCTCCTCATCTAGCTTTGCCTGGGTGTCCTTGAGTTGCTCCTTCTTTTGTGACAGGGACGTGTTTGGTCTGATCTATTCTGCTTGGAAAGAAGGAAGGGGAACTCAAATTTGCTAGGGTTTCTGATGTGCCAGACACCATGATATGCACTTTAGAAGAAGGAGGCACCTTTGAACTAGGATTTCCCATTGTTTCTACTCAGCCCACTGCAGAACATTTGTTAAATTGAGGCATTTATGCCCTAAGACTATCTTTGTGACACAGATTGAATAATTTTTTGGGTAGCCCCTCCCAAGCCACTCAGGATTATTTACTTCCATTTCATTCAAATGGGCAAAAGAAAATAGAAGGTTAAAAAAACACAGTTCTGTTGTTTGTTTCTTTTAAACCCTCCCCTGAATACTAAAAATATTTGCTTCAGGATTGCTGGCTTTAAGGATATTTTAAAACTATGGCAACAGGTCGAATTCATACCAGAAATAAATATTGTTAGCTTTTATCCTTTGTTCAGTCTCACTGACTGTAAGATTTCATCATTTCTCCCATCAAGTACTTTGAATTTTTAGCCTAGATTTTCTGACACAGACTTCATTTTATGTACTGCACTATTGTCCGTTAAAGCAAATCATTACATGCAAACTTAAATGCATTTCGGTCTTTTTATCATTGTGAAATTTATTACATTAAGTAAATTTACAAATTATTAAAAGATCTTACACCATGAGTCTTATTTTAGTTTCAGGAAATAGTTGTGTCTATCACCCAAATCATTATCTGATCCATTTATTTCAACTGATTTTGCTAGTTGTGTAAATGTAGACCAATTATTCACACTGAGACTTCACTTTTTTCTTCACTAAAAAGAATAATACTTACCTCATAAGATTCCAATGAGGATCAAATGAGATGATGCACTTAATGACTTCACCTTCATGTCCAGATGGCATAATACGTGCCAGATTTATTCTCCTGACTGAAACAACTAAAAACTGCTGAAAGTGTATGAAATAATATTTTAAAGACACTTAGGCAACAAACAACAAAAGACAATTATTCCTGAGAGATAAGAGGCAAATGAGGTAAGCCCTGTCATTGTCCTAGCTTATTGTCTTTAAGGAGTTTCTAAGTAGTGGAACACCCAGGCAAATAAATTTCAGAACAAAGAATATTACCAGGAATAATAAATGTCATTTCGTAAAATGAAGGGTTCATTTCATCAAGAGGGCATAACAATCTTAAACGCATATGCACCTAGTAACAGAGCTTGAAAATGCCTGAAGTTGGCTGGGTGCAGTGGCTCATGCCTGTAATCCTAGTACTTTGAGAGGCCCAGGTGCGTGGACCACTTGAGGTCAGGAGTTTGAGACTAGCCTGGCCAACACGGTGACCCCATCTCTACCAAAAAATACAAAAATTAGCTGAGTGTGGTGGTATGTGCCTGTACTCCCAGCTACTTGGGAAGCTGAGGTGGGAGAATTGCTTGAACTCAGGAAGTGGAGGCTACAGTGAACCAAGATTGCATTACTGCCCTCCAGCCTGGGCAACAGAGTGAGACCTGTCTAGACACACATACATACACACACACACACACACACACACACACACACACACACACAGTGAAGCTGCCAGGTGTGATGGTTCATGCCTATAATTGCAGCACTTTTGGAGGCAAAGGTGAGAGTATAGATTGAGGTCAGCTGGGCAACACAGTGAGATCTCATTTCTACAAAAATTTTTTAAAAATTAGCTGGACATGATGGTGTGCACCTGGGGTCCCAAGTACTTGGGAAACTAAGGGGGAAGAATTGCTTTAGCCCAGGAGATCAAGGCTGCAGCGAGCCATGAATTTGCCACTACACTTCAGCCTGAGTGACAGAGTGAGACCATGTCTCTTAAAAAAAGAAAAAAAAACATAGGAGGGGAAGAAATTATTCAAAATGATTTAAAAGTAATGTTGTAAAGGATAGCAAATTAGCTGGGCACGGTGGCTCAAGCCTGTAATCCCAGCACTTTGGGAGGCTGAGGCGGGTGGATCACGAGGTCAAGAGATTGAGACCATCCTGGTCAACATGGTGAAACCCCGT